ATAGAGTGCTTACACTATGTCCATGAAATAAAATCTAAATAGTTACTACCTAACAGTTTTTATTTAGCGACTATTAATCACTATCACACAACTGGAACAGCTTTAGTAACAATACACAAAGTATTATCTTTCTATTGTCTTGAGTATTTGGCCTCCCTTTATTGTGTATTGTTACTAAAGCTGTTCCAGTTGAGTGATAGTCACTAAATAAAAACTGTTAGATAGTAACTATTTAGATTTTATTTCATGGATATAGTGTACGCACTCTAGTATATAGTTTAGTATATCAAGGTTGCAAGCTGACTGGAATTATGACCTGTACACCAAGCTAGTCAGCTAGCTATCTATTATATAATTACAAATGTTTGGGTCAAAGTCAAAGTTTTCAGGAACCACTTCTAAAATTTTCTCACATGACTTCAAAATCAAAATCCATTCAAATCGTCACCGAGGTCTAGGCGAGGTCTACGCGAGGTCTACGCGAGGTCTAGGCGAGGTCTACGCGAAATCGAGAATAAAATATTTTATAACTTCCGAATATAGAGACGATTTTCGAAAAATAAAATTTTGAAAAGGAGAAGCGAAGAAAAAGAAACTGAAGAGAAATGCTGGAGAATATTAAAAGCAAAACTCATACTTGGCTAGGTGTAGCACTTCTTGTACACTGATTACAGGTATATCGATGCCCAAACGGCACGACACGATGAGGGGTATGACGTCACATACAAGGGAAAGCCCCAAATACCTACAAAAATAAAAAATGTAAATTATATTTTTTGTCGTTTGATAATGCACCTATCAGCGGTTTCCCCGTGGGGTCGACCCCCGGGCTGACCAGGGAGATGGGTGGGAGAACATAGAAGGATTAGATCCAGTTATTCCCCCTGGGGTCGGGAAAATTTGCGACATTGGTTTCGTGGCTAAAAACTGAGGTGGGGGATTGCAATGAAATTATTTTCATTGCGGAGGTTACCAGGGGGATGATTTTCCTCTCTAGTTAATGAAATAGCTTCTGATTTTAAAAATTTTGAGACCACGGACGTTTTTGGTCGGGCTGGGTTACCTGTGTTTATTCGACAATACCCAGATGCCTCTGCTCGTCAAGATGGCTGACGAGGTGAGAGAATTCCACTGCGAAGTATGTTTTTTGACATTCTTTGTTGTTACATAGAAACGAATTCGAAGGCAACTTGATTTACTTTTTACTTTTAAATGTGAATTCTTCAATTCATGAGTTTTTTTCAATCTTTTCAATGAAAAACTACCTGAAATATCGAGCAAACCGCAAGGGTTACGCGTTGAGTTCAGTTTTCAAAATACAATAACAATAATTTCAACCAAAATGAGTGAGATTCTAGATTTGAATGCCTCGACCAGGGGACATTGAAAAGAACAACTTCCCTACCCCTGGGAAAAATGATCAACATTGTTTATGAATTTTTACAATCTCCGGGGTCAGCCCGGGGGTCGACCCCCCGGGGAAGCCGCTGATAGGTGCATAACGCTTCCAGTAAAGCCATCATGGAGCCTGAAATATTAAAATACCGACTCAAAAAGAACTATAACTCTATTTTAAAGGACTTAGAGCCACGGAAATTGCTTGGTTATCTATATCAGGAGGGAATGTTTGACGAAGATGACATGGACGAAGTACGAGACGAGCGAACGAGAAAGAAACAGGCAGAGGCCTTGTTGTCCATGTTGGGTCGAAGACCTGTACAAGCATATGAAATATTGGTGAACGGTTTGATTGAAACACAGCCTCATCTAGCGAAACTTTTACAGACTCCTATTCCAGGAGAAAAAAGAGGTAAAGATGACGTACATTTGGTTCAAAAATGGTCGATCAATCAGTTCCGATCTAGTTTACAGGGAATCGGGTCTATCACTTTCGTTTTTGATATAAGCTTAAGATTTTAAGATCATTTTGTCGTAGATTTTTAAAACTTTAAGCATAATAACGAAAGAAGTATCTATTTTCGAGATATTCTGTTTGAATGAACCTTAATAATTATCAATTTTCTTAATTAAGAATGATCGATTGAGGAGGGATTAATTGTTTGACAAAAATGTGCTTCACTATATTATGGTAGGGTCAGGAAGTATAATATGAAAATAATGTTGTATTTAATTCAACAGATGCCTTTTGATAAAGATAAGTTCCTTCACTTTCTTATTTCATAAGATAGTTTGAGATATTGAATTTAAGTGTATATGTATAGTTCCATGCCCGGGGGGGTAGGGGGGGGGAGGGGGGTACTACCCCCCAACTTGGGTAGGGGTGTGCCGCCAGGACCTCAAAACCCTGACCCTATCCCAGACCTAAAATTTTGATTTTAGATACCCTACCCCAGACTAAAACTAAGAATTGTACACCCTATCCCAGACTAATAGAGGGAAAAGACGGCTATTCAATAGATTGCAATCAATATTTATTAACGTTTTTATTGTTTTTGTGCCATCAGAAAGCATAGACTATTTGCCAGACAAAAATGACCAAATCGTTAACCCTATTCCAGACAAAAATGATACCCTATCCCAGACAAAATGTCCAAAAATGATACCCTACCCCAGACCCAAAAGCCGAAAAACCATACCCTATAGGGC